GGGGAGGGGAAGCGGGGGAGGAAAGGAAGGATCCGCTCTCGCTCTCCCACACGCGCGCACGCACAGAGAACTCGCTCAGACCCAGCAAGAAAGCGGCGTGTCAAGCGCGCACAAAAGAACCCGTCTGCGGCCGTCGCGACCACCACCACCACCACCACCCGGGCTCTTCGCCTTTATTTACCGCCTTCCTCTCGCCTCCTCCTAGAAACGGGACTGGGGGATGCCGCTTCTACACCGAAAGCCCTTCGTGAGGGAAAAACCTCCGGCTGACCTCCGGCCCGACGAGCACGTCTTCCACTGCAGGGTCACCAACGAGATCTTCAGGGACTACGAGTAAGAGATGCCCTCCCCCCCGTGGGCTCTGGCGGGCTGGTTTGAACGGGGAAGCGCGGCTGCAAATGGCTGACACCTGGCCGGAGAAGGGAATCCCCTGTGAAGCAGGGAAACCCCCCTGAGCTCCCGTCTTCCTCGGGCGAGAGGGGAAAGGGGAGGGCGCTTTGGGCAGAAGGACCGCGCGTCTGTAACTGACCCGTCCCCTTAGCTCCCCCGGTGCCCTTCCTCCTCAGGACGGAGCGGGAGAATGGAAAGTTTGTAGCAAGGTCGCCCTTAGTTCACCGCCCGACCCTGCTTCTGTGGGTATCCTGAATCCTTGTTGCGTGTTGGCGCGGCTTGCACTAGGCCTTGGAGTACCTCTGGGCGCGCGCGCGCGCGCGCGATTTTGCTCCTGTTTGTGGAAGTACAGTAACCCAGCAAACTTGACTGAACTTGGCCGCGGAGAGAGAATCAACGGCCAGTAGCCGGCGGTGTAAAGGCCGGATTTGGGTCGTGGGGGGCTGCTGGACGGCTGCTGGACGGCTGCTCCTAACCGCCTCATTGACTATTGTTTTCCCAGCAGCTGGGCGTCCGAAAAACAAACGTGCCGCTGTCTCCGGCCCGTAAATGAATCTGTTTGGGGTTTGAGTTCAAAACCCTGGTAACAGCTCTTTCCCTGCCTTATCGCCTTTAATGGCGCACCTTAGTGACTTCATTTTTATCTCCTGAACAAAAATCAAAACAAAAACCGAAAAACCCACATCCCAACTCATATGCCAAGTACCCCTCTCTGAACAATTATCATCCCCTTTGCCACACTAGAAATTTTTGGCAGCTTCCCATGATGATTTGGAGTCAGCAGCACCTGTTGTGACAAGACATTTTCCCCCTTAAGAGTTTACAGTATCTGACACACTTCCGTGTACTACTTTAGAAAAATCTAAATAACTCAATATTGTGCTTCAATAACATGTATTAAAAGTTTGTATAATTTGTAGGGATTCACTCTAATTTTGTTTATTCAAAAAATGGTTTTCATCTCATTGACCTCAAGAAGGGGCTGATGCATAAAGTAAATGCCTCTCATTTACTAATAATCAAACCTGTTAGATTAGTATTTCAGCATCTAAGATATTTTGAGGTTTAATGAAAAGTTAATTTTAAGCTAAATATCCAAATATGAAAAACACTGAGAATTTCCCTTGAATTGGGAGATGCTGTCATTTTATATCTTTCATAAGGATAATGTAAATGATAACAAAGAACCCACCATTTTCTTTGGTAATATATTCATAACATACCAGCTCAGGTCAACTATGCTAAGCATTGCCATGAAATGATAAATATCTTAAATTGTTGGATGGACAGAATGCAGAATTTCAGAAAACCGTTCTGAATGATAAAATATTTATTGCTTTTTTAAAATCATTTTTTGCATATAAGGCTTGAAATATAATCTATCTGGATGTAATTCATCCATTTATATTAGCAGGATTTAAAAGTACTGTAATGGCCCATATATATTTATATGTTTAATACAATGTCTTAATATCAATAGAATTAATAACGAATGAAGTTAGAGTACATTTTGTTTTTATGTGTCTAGATTTATTTTATGTTAAAGTAGATCATACTGAGAGAGAGACACTGTTGCTTTTTGGAAAAAGTACTACAGTGGTAATTAAAAAGATTTTTGTTTGAATTGGAGAATTAGTTCCCTGTATCACTATTAAGAGAAAAGGGCCTCCAGAACTTGTTCAGTGTCAGCAGCAGTGGTTTTCCAGGAACAGATATGCGTGTCATGTTTAGAAAGCTTTTTCTTCAGCATTAGGACTTTTTCTACAGAGTTGCCGTAGGACTTTTGGAGCAGAGTATGTATTCACCAAAAATTGTTCATCCGTTTAAATATGGTATCAAGAAAATTTCTATAGGATTCATTGAATCTGTTAACAATGAGATAAATATACAGGTAGTCCCCAGGTTAAGAATGCCCAGTGTAAGGATGACCCATAGTTAAGAACGGAGCCTGTTGTAGCAAAATCTGAGTTAAATACACGATTCGATTAATTACACAATACTACTTAATACTGTTCTGGCTTACATACAAATTCGACTTAAGGAAAGAACTTGGCAATGGAATTAGTTCTTAAACTGAGGGCTACCTGTAATTAAAAAGTACATGTATGATACATTACAAAGGATTCAGTTATTTACACAAACATTGCTTGCCTAATGTTATTTGATGGTAAACTTGCCATCTGAACTTTATTATGAATGAAGCTTGGCTGAAGTAGCTGCAGAAGACAAGCCTTCATCTTTCATATTTATAAAAAGGTTTTGAACTTCTGGATAGCTTCTGTAATGACCTTGTTGGCTGAAATGGACAGTTTTTGCATTTTTAATGCAAGGGTTGAATGACAAGACTAAAACTAGTGGTTTCTAGGCTAGAGAATACTGCTGTGTAGTCATGTTTATGCTGCTGAAGGCCACAGAACAAATCAAGAATCCATTAACTCAGAAAGTTGAGGGGAAGGGAAGCCTAGAGCTTTAACTCTGGAGTATAGACCTTTATAAAAGCTTAGACTTCTTTGAACCACAGAGAAAAAAATCATCTGTGTGTATATGGCTTGATTAGTGTCTGCAATAAAGAGTTTAACATAGCCAAGTCATGTCTGAGTCTTCTGCCAACTAAGCCTGTTCCTAAATAGGGAGTTCAGAGAATTGAGATTTGCTATCTAGTGTGAAGTCTGACAGTATCCACTTGTCACAGTAGCTCTGAAAAAAAAAGATAAGGAATTATGGAGTATATGACTATCTCAAATCATAAGATGCATTGATACCTCTCTGAGCTCTAGCATTATCTGCACTGTTCTAGGCAGCATGGAAGTATAAGACTTTCTATGTATATAAAACGTGTATATAGCCACCCATCTTAAAGCCAAACTCTGTGCGGCTCACAATCCAAAAATAAAACAATATATACAACAATAAGAATACAAGAACCAATAAAACCAAAACAGAAAAACCTGGCACCACAACCACATTTCCCTGATGCCACTGCCCTATCCCAATGCTTGGGGGAAGACCATCTTACGTGGCCTCCTGAACGTTAAAAGGATGGGGCCCTGTTGGATCTCATGGGGGAGGGTATTTCATAGGGCAGGAGCTGCCATGGAGAAGGCACACTTCCGAGGACCCAGAGGATAGCATTGTTTTAGGGAAGGGTCCTGGAGCATGCCCACCTATCAACTCTAGTGGGATGGACAGGTACCCTTAAGCAGAGGTGGTCTTGCAGATGACCTGGTCTTGTGCCATGTAGGGTTTTAAAGGTAATAACCACCACCTTGAATTGGAAACTGGGAGCTACTGCAGTTTGTTTACTTTGTCATGTAAGCAGATCATTTTGGATCCATGCAGTTTATTTACTTATTTATTATCTTAATTTATATGCCACTGCTTCCTAGCCTCTAGGTGGCTTATAGTAAAATCAAGAAAAGTCACCACACTATAAAATATTAAAATAACATACCAATAAAATCCTTAAAATAAATTTTAAAAAATTAATTGGCCTCAGTCATAAAGTACTTCATCTATAATTTGGATGCTCCCACTAAAAAGTGCCTTCTGTTCTAAAGGCCCATTGAATCATCTTGAGTACTTTTTGAAACCCTCATATAGGGGCAGTGTGGTGGCTACCACTGAGAATGCTTGCTTCCTGGCACTGTCTCTCTTAATTTCTTGCAGGAAAGGGATCCTCAGACTGCCCTCTTGATCTGCATGGAATGGATGTAGATTCTACCTAAAAATCCCTGTAAAAATAAACTTTAAGTCAGAACCAAATGATTAAAATTATAACCAAAGTATAATTATTTTAATGAAAGCTATTGGATAAGTAAATTTTTCAGATACTAGGTCAGTTGATGGGAAGATAGCTGCCTCTAAGATTTAAACATGGATAAGCAATACTAATGTGTCTTTTGTAAAGCTCACATAAAAGGCTATATAAAATAGCTAATATGAATGTTTCTTAAGTTTTTTTTGGATTTGGTTTTCCCATATAGTATCAGATAGACTAATGGTTTAATAGTATACTTATTCCCACAGACGAATACACTCTATTCAACTGCCTTTCAATTTAGAATGAGTGTTTCTGAAATAAGGTGTTCATATCAGGAATTCTGGTGGTTTTCTCTCCATCAGCACTCCTGAAGAAGCCAGAATGATTCCAAGGAAGATATTGGAGATCACAGAAGTTGTAATGATTTCCATAATAACCATGCTTCTGTTCCAAAATAATTATCAATCCCGTTTACTCAACTAGGAATCCTTTAAATTACATTTTCACTCTGGCTGGGATGATGGTGTTAGGACACTTGAAACTGTGATTTTTCTTCAACTGATTATTATCTATTTTTGTTATGTCACTTAATATCTGCAGTGGAATCTTGTCAGAATAACCTGCTCCAGGAAAGTAATAGATCCAGATTGTTCCTTAATAACTCTTGATTAGCCACTAAATAGGAATATGGTCTAGGCAATTGATATCATTGTTCCTAAATATCTCTCACCCTAGCAGTTTTTTCCTCTTTGGGCAAACTAGGTCCTAATCTGCATTACACCATGTTAAATTACTAATCTATATTGAATCAGCTGCATTTACTTTTTAATAAGAAGAAAGGATAAAATGAATGCCTATATAAATCAAATTGTATTTTGACTGAGAGTTTTATTTGGAAGGAGATTTTCATAATTATTATAGCCAGACTTTAGAAGGGAAACCTAAGAAGGCTTTTTCCCCCTACTGTATATCTAATGACTTTCCAGTGGTAGGTGAAAATGTTTCACTCCTGGGAGGCATTTAACCTGCTGTGGAGTTAATGCTTTAATTCTCCTGGTTTATTTCTTTCTGAATATAATTTGTGCTCTTATTTTCTGTATTGCTTATTGGTGATTTCCATCTTGGTAATTTTTTTATAATAAAGAAGCAGGTTACAGATAATAAGGAGTGAATTAACTAATAAAGGAGATATATGAGAGAAAGTACAGTAAAACTAATAATCTTAGGAAAATTTGAATTAACATGTACAAACTATTTGTGGGCCCTTTATGTCCTGTGGCTGTTCACTGAGACAAGCTAATTCTTGAATAAGGGAAGCTTAGTGTGATAAAAATCTAATTGCATGTTCAGCAAAGTTGGAAGTTCAGTCAGTTAAAATTTCCATGAATATATTGGGTTCAAATTATTGATTTATATTTAATAAGATTATGTGTCATGAAAATTGAAGGAGGTGTTTCAGTCACATATAATAGAAAATACAGTGGCTCTAAAACACTCCAGTCTATTTTTGAAGTCAGGCAGTGCTTTTATTAATTCTTCAATTGAATGTAAATATATTTATTTGTAGAGAAGTTGAGAATTGCTTTTATATTAAAAAAAAGTACATGTGTGTTTATAAGTAAAATAGGCTCATTTTCTGTCCAACTACTCCATGGTGTTATTTGGTCTCCATCTTTTGGTTTTTTGTCAATTACTGAATTACTGAAATTTCCATATTCAGTAATCAATATTTATCTTTGACTAGGATAACAAATAATATTTTTGAAAAATTGTAAGGGCAGTTATGCCAGTCAGGGAAATGAAAACATCCCAATATCTCATTTAAAAAAATGTTAGAAGTTCTAACAACAGTTCTCTCTGCCCCCTACACAGGCACACCCATGTATAAAATATTGCCATTTTGTCATTTGTTTTCAAGGAAGAAAGCACTACAGCAGGAAGAGGAAGTATCCTCTTAACTTTGAGGTTAAAGATATAAAAGGAACAAGCCAGCAAGCAAAATGTATTGGGGGAGGGAGAAAGGGTATCAGAACAAAAGTGTGGTTGAATTATCTTTAATTAGTTTTATTGTAATTTATTTGTTTTGATTGTTGTGAGCTGCCCAGAGTTGTTGGGAGTTGGGTGGCATACAGGTTTAATAATAAATAAAGAAAGTCCAAATTGGTAAATAACAAAGTCGTGGTAAAAAGTTCCTAAGAGGGGTACTGCCTGCCTTTGATAGTACCAAGTGTGCCACTTTAATGCCTTCTCTTAGTGGTAAGTTGGTGTATAAAAGCTGAGTTTTGAAGTGCAGGCTCTACTGCAAAAAGGTAGTATGTATTTGCGTTATTAAATACACTATACTAGCATTTATATCAGGATAGAGCTTGCCTATAAAGTTGCAGTTGGTTATCCTGGAAGAATCAAATGAGGGCATTTTTTTTTAAATAGTAAGCTGTGAATGTCATTGGACTGATCCCTTTATACATTTTATAAAAGTACACTAGGGTAGGCTTCATATGTTTTATTTAACCATAGTTTACTAAATAAAGTATAATTAGCTGGGCTTACACAGCAAGCTATCCAAAATCAAACATGACATTTTGGTTTTAAATAGTGTGAACCCTGCATAGAGATATAGCTTGAACTTTTTCATTGCTAATCACTAAATCAGTTATCTAAACACCCGAAAAAACCTTGAACAATTAAATTACACTAAAAGAACTAGCTTTAAAAGGAGGGTTAAATGAATGTTTATTTTGAAAAAGTGTGAATTTCTAGACAGAATTAATTGGATTAAAATTCCTTATTATGTTGTCCTTTGTTATCACTATACAAAGTACACTGTGCATCAGTTTTCATCTTTTTTATTGTTCATCAAAGCAAGTTGGTTTCGAAATTTCTGAATTTCAAATGTTTCTCAATAAGTGTAAGATTGTACTGAATTTTTTTTTATTATATGTGTGGGTACAGTATGCACATCTATACTTAAAGGGTCTATGTGGCTATTGTGATCAATAGCAATTTATAAAATCAAGAAAAAGTTGGAGCAAAATACTTATACCATTTATAAAATGATTAATAAAATAAAGTGGTAACCACTTTATCTTTGTGGCTAATTTTATTACATAAAGCGTAACTACAGGAGGATGTCCACCTTTGTACTACAGAAAAGTAAATATTAAGAAACAGTGGTAGAGTCAGGGCTTCATCCTCTGACTCCAAAGTAGGATAGATAGGCTGATATGGAACTAAGTGGTTCCCTAGGTCCTGAGATGTTAAGAACATGGCTCAGCAGCTAGTTGGCAACCAATGCAGAGCCTTTAATACTGGTGCTATATGAGTAAAGAATTGTACTGAATTACCTAACCATAACCTCTAGACCACTCTCAAGAAGGATTCCACGTAGAGCATGTTAGTAATCTAAACTTGAATATACTAATACATAGGGTATTCTGGCAAAGCTGTTGAGAAACTGATAAGGGTCAAGAGCTTTATGTGGCTAGTTGCATTGTTGCAAGAGTCTTCTCCTAGAGAGCTTTGGCTATTAGATAGTTTAATTTTTTTAAATAAATACATAAATTATAATCATCAGGCTGTACAAGCAGAAAGTGATCAACAAAATTGGGTAAGGCTGAGCATTGGACAACTTTAATAAAATAAGCATCAGTTTTCATTTTCAGACCACCATGGAAATGGATGGTTTTATTTCCAAAGTGCCTAGTAAATTCATTATATTAGGCACAGATGAGACTAACCCTTCGATCACTAGGTGACTCCAGTGGGTGACTGCTTGAGAATACAATGGACTCAGCAAAGTCAATCTTCCTTGCTGTTTCACTGCTACATACTTAGGCAGAACCATGTGCTCTTTCTCATATGCAGTCATCCTCAGAGTGAGACCTATTCTTATGACAAATCCATTTAACTGACATGCTGAATTGAATGGAGGTCATCTGTTCCAGCTATGTATACATTGAATCATGTCTGTATATATTACAACATTGTAAATCGGAAGAAAGCTTAGAGTGAAGATTTTAGTGTGTCTGTAATTTGCTAGAAGCAGATTAAGGATTATACATTGATATATACACATATATAGATACTGTATAGTGATACATATTGAACTACCCTCTCCCCAGTGTACATCGGTCTGTATATCTTCATCATGGTACTGAAAAACAATTGTTCTGGGGATTTAAGAATTAGGCTGGGACTGCAACCAGCTCAGAATTATTTCTGCCATGGAGTTGTTATAGTGTTAATGGACAACACAGTTACTCTGTAAGATGGGGCACAGTGTTTCTGTTTCTTGAGGATGCTGAGCATGCTGAGGGCCATAATCCAAAAGTAAACCTTTTGAGATAGTAAACATACAGTTGCAGTCAGATCCTGATTGAGATGTCACAAAGCTTTCAGAGACCTGTTGTGACAAGTTTGCCATGCACTTGGAAGACAAAGGTACCTACTTCAAAATCATGATGATATTGCTAGTATATATCCTATGATGGTTTCCAGAATATGATCTAATCTGACTGTGTAGGATCAGTTTCAGTATCAGGAAGCACGCAGGAGCGTTTGGAGGAATACAGTTGACTACTAGCTTATTTGATCTTTGTTCATCATAAGCTATTAACTGTCTAAAGTTAACTGATCAAATGAATTTAGAAAATAATGCTTAAATTATGAGATTTTTTTCCCACTGCCTTGAAATTTTCTCTAGCTATTTGAGATCTTGATAACTGTTGACCAATACTTAATTTTCCTGTGGAGTCCTTGGGGTTCTCTGAGCTTGGTTCTTTTCTTGCAAACGTTTCATTACCC